AACCGGCAGGGGAAACGCGGGGTTGGCCGGGGGGGGGGGGGGGGGGAAGCGGGAGAAGGTGCCAAGAGAGCGGCACATCCCCACCACCACATTTTACCGCGAGCCGTCGCCGCGAGCCGCGCGGAGCTGGGGTGGGATGTGACGCCGAGCCCAAATGGGGATGATGATGATGATGATGATGGGGAGGGGATGGGGCAACGCTGCAGAGCGGGGGATGGGAAGGGGCCTGATCCTGCCCCGTGCGGCATCAGAGCATCCCCTTGCGCCGCGGGAGGGCCGTGCCGTGATGGAGGGCCACGGGGCGGGGAGCGAGGTGGCCGTGTTGCCACGCCGGGGCTTCCCAGATGCTGTTTGCCTGGCGCTAGGCCATTAATTCCTCCTCTTCTCATCCTCCCACTCATTTGCTAGATATTTCCCAAACCTCTTATTTTTAGGTTGCAGCTGAAAAGCTACAAATTTGCAGCTTTCGCTCCTGTGCAGGATCCCGGGCGCAATGCGGGTGGGAGCAGGGCAGGACCACGGCGGGACTGCCCAGCTGGCAGAGCAGGCAGGCGAAACCCACGGCCCCAACGCGGGCAGAGGGAGAGTGGCCGGGCACAGAGGGGCTGCCAGGATGCAAAACCTCTGAGGGGGGGGACAAGGCCTCGCCGCCATCCCTGGAAACAACCTGACGGGCATTTTGGGGCTGCTTTGAGCCAGGCTTAGTGTGCCAAGGGGCGGCCACAGAGCTGGCAAGCCGGAGGGCTGAGCCAGCTGGGTCCGGCAGTGCCACCTGCCCGGGGGCTGCCGGGGGCTTTGTGGACACAGGCTGCTCGGTGAGGGATGTCAGGAGCCCCACGGCTGTCCCGCTGTCCCGGCGGGGTCCTGGCCAGCATCCCACCATCGGACGAGCCTCAGGGGAGAGGACCGGCACGGTGCCGCAGCTCAGCACCCCAGGCATGCCCGGGGCGAGAGGGAAGGGAACGGGTGTCTGTTCTCCATCTGTGCATCTGTCTGTCTCTCCGTGCGTCCTCCTCTCCAACACATCCATCAATCTCTCCATCCATCCATCCCTCGTACACATCTGCTTCTCCATCCAGCCATCTGTCCATCCCCCGGAGCTGTCAATCTGTCCGTCTCTGCCTCCCCCACACGGAGCTGCCTGCCCCGGGGGCTTTGCCTCCGGACGATCACAGACCCCCGGCACGGTGCTGCCTCCTCCACCGGGGACCCCACGGGATGGGACGGCCGGTGCCAGACACCCAGCAAGGAGCATCCCATGTCGGCACCCCTGGCACCTCTCCCCCACCACCCATGTGCCCGGTGCTGCAGCGGTGCCAAGACACCCGGGCCCGGTAGAAGCACGGTGCCTGTGGGCATCATCCCCGCCATGCACACTCTGGGGGAGGCGGACACCCTCCTAAAACACTGCACAGCTCTTTCCCGGTGCCTGGGTGGACATCCCCTGTCCCAAACTGCTGCCATCCATGGATGCGTCCCTCAGGCCCTGGTGCCACGGTGAGGGGCAGCGCGAGAAACCTGCGTGATGGAGGATGGGACGGGTGTTTTGCCATTAAAGCTGTCGGGTCCCTCATGCACCCGGGTTTCATTTCGTGCCGCCTTCATGACGCAAGCCCCCGCTCCTGGTTTAGGTATGGCACCAGGGTCGTGCATCAGCCACACAGCCCTCCCCGAGGCCGGCTGGCACCGCCGGTGCACCAGCGTGGCGGGATTCACCCTCCTGCCGTGGCCCGTAGCCACCGGGATGGGCTCAGCTCACGACTCCCCCGGGAGAGGCGAGCCAGAGCTCCCGGCATCCCGCGGCTCGCTCTCGGCACCCGTCCCCGAATCAGCCCGCTCACGAGGAGAGGATGCTCCGGGCACCCGGCGCCTCGCCAAGCCCCCAGTTGGGCAAAGCTGCCCGCCGGCATCCCCCCTGCCTGCGCTCTCCCAGCACGCCGGCAGTCGCCGGAGCGCCGCAGCCGTGTCTCTGCCCTGCTCCAGTATGCGGCCAGCGTGCAAGCTGCATGCACGACACGTTCACGTGCCGCTCAGCAAAGCCACAAGGCCCCAGGAGACACGTGCACGCAACCGCCGCCGGCCCCGTGGCACAGCAGACCCTCACGGCACCCT